CCCCCCGGCCCCCCAAATTAATAGCTACAAGAAGCTTGTCCGCGAGCATTTTTAAATTCATAATGAAAGGTCTGAATCGGCATCCATAGCGTAAATAAAGGAAAAGGAAATCGACCTACTCGAGATAAAAAAAAATTGGATTCCTAGAATAAATTTATTAGATAATTCAATAATTTCAATAAGAGCCCACTAATCTAATTTCCCAATAACGTATTTTATAATTCCTACCTTAATAAAACTTCCTGTATTTCAATTGCGAACCGACAAGACCTTTCTTTAAATTTCCTTTCCAGGTCATCCGATGAAGCACACCGGAGAATAACAATTAATTCCCAAATTGCGTGACAAGTTAGTGGAGAGAGAGAGAGAGAGAGAAAGGGTGAGGAATTAGCAGTGAGCTAACAAGCGAAAGAGCTACGGCTAACCAAAAGAAACACTATTTTAGGACAACTTTTGTTCACACAGACGCTAGTTTCAATAATAGGCTGGAGAACAAAAGTGGCGAACTCAAAATGCTTTTGGATAGACAAAGAGAAATAGACAAAATCTAATTTGTGGCTAAAAATAACCTACACACCTCTGTTCTGAGATGACAAATGGAAGCGAAACAATAGACAATCAGATGGAAATATAAAAGCTCGCACGCTACCTTTTAAAAGTGAGCTACACAGTTAGTCAAATAGTCATCCTAGTACCAACTGCTAAAGTACATTAACTAATCAATTTATTTGTTGAGTAGACTTGAAAAAGTTTTAAATGAAATTCAAAAGTCTCCTTGTTTTTTTTTAACTTAAAAATGTAAGTTAAAGCATGAACAAAACAGAGTCGTTTCCAACATCATTAATAAATTATGTAACTTCACAAAAAGTTTCCCATACGTCGCATTTTGCCGATAACATTTTGGTCGTACTTCAATGCGTTAAACAGGGGGCAGTTTAATTAGCTGTGGCTACGACACAACGAAGAGCGCCATGAAGTACCTTCTAATTTTCCGACGACTCATCAAAGTCAATGATGAGAGCGTGACAGGCGTAGATAATGTTCAATATACAGACTGCCGCATTGTAATTGGATTGATAATATCGCGAGGTGATTATCCATGCATTTCATATAAGTTTTAAACACTTATCCCTATTTCCAAGTTCCATGAAAAAAAAATAGTATCTAACCGTTTTATTAGTTTTTAGTATTCCATCGATTTCATCGATATGGTGCAGTTAAACACACATTGACAATGATACAATGGACGGACATTGTTTAAGTCCATTATCTTGTCAATTAAAGAGAAAAAAAACAAATATTAGCCTACGAACTCCACCTCCACTCCTTCTTGAGGCAATATAAGGTTAGCAACTTCTTCTCCTGGTCCCTCCTACAACCAACCAATAGGAAACTTCAGATGATTCCTTTAATTTGAGTCTGGACGAATCCCCAACCCCTCCCCACCCCCACTTAGTGGGTCAACTATTGAAGTGGTGCAAGAATCCCGTAGAACTCAACAAAATATATCCAATTTAGTAGGTATTTTACGCCACACTTCGAAAGATTGTTTAGACCCGCTCCCTAACCCACAGACACCTTACCCTCTATCACTTCACTAAACGAACACATTTAATCGTAAATTGAAAGATAATTCGACCACTTTAGATTAGTTTTTTTAACACGATCAACTTTGTTTTGCGTTATAGAAAATCCAACAGCGTTTCTAAACTATTCCAACTGTTCGAATTCCCAATTTAATGTTCACGTTAATTTTAAATCAAACCCAAACACGTAGAGGCGAAGAATTTGTGAATAGCGTGACACATGTTCAAGTGTCTACAGACCTCGGAAAAATTTTTTCAGACCTATTAATTTCGGAATAAATCATATATCATAATATTTATCATTAACAAAATGCTGCACAAAATGAAATCGGCACCCTACAAAAACACCGAATTCTCCCAGCAAATTTCACCCCAGACACAGAAAGAAAAACACGAACAACACAGGGAGACAACAAGTATATTTGGCACACACATACACACGCACAACATAGAGTGATAGCAGGCTTGAAGGAGAGAACTTACCTTTCGCGCGGCGCTCTGATATTTCACGGCCTTTTTGGTATCTGCCTTCGCTGTCTCGATGTAGTCTACAGCCTGATCCACGTTAAATTCAATCCTGTCGATCATTTCACCCTGAAAGAAGTAGCAGAAGTTGACAGAACTCATACCTTTCAGAAGCAAGAGGGTTAGAGGAAAAGAAAACAGTTTCCGCCTATTTTAGCTAATACTACATTGTTTTCAAAGGGCCCAAGAGGGTATATGCTGGAATTTGTCAGAACATTCTTTGCTATTTGCGATTCTTGGCTTAATTTACAAGAATTGATAAGGCGCAAAACTAAAAATTAGTCTACTGGTCTGTTATCAGACGGAATTGAATCGATTTAGAGAATGAGAGAGAAAATACAAACGATTACACACCCCAAACACCTTGAATAAAAGCCGTGAAAAAAGTGGTATCCTAGATCGAAATTGCCACATGTTAAAGTGGATGGGTAATTAAGCATTAGAATTAATTTGTGAGAAATATTCGCAAATCCAAAAACAGGATATAAGAATTGCACGCTTTGAACATCTTCAAAATGGACGCAAATTTCTAACAAATTGCGATTGAGAAAACCCTGTTATATACATTAATTAAGTAATGTAATTGAAGCCCCAGAAAGAACGTAGATCACTAAATACTCCTACCAGGATAATTTAAGTAGCAATTAGTGCACCCAAGATAAATATTCTACCGTGAACCCACTTTTTGCTAGCCGGCAAATTGTTCGCCCACAGCATAAATTTGGAGCAAATGGAGGTGGGAGGGGAGGAGGGGAGAGGGGGTATGGGGAGCCAAATGCAAAAGAGGAAAAGAGAAATGGAAGGATGAAATTGCTCTCAACGTGCCCAGAGGTTGGGCGAGAGGGGGTGGGGGGTTGGGAGCAAGAAGGATGAATCAATGTGAATGGAAGCGTGGGTGTTGCCGTGAGTCCTCACAAAGAATTTAAGCAGAGTTTGAAATTAACCCACATACACCCTCCTTTAAGGCAGGAGGCGGAAATGGGTGCTCACAAATCTTGCGGAAGTAATGAGAGGAGATGGACAGGAGATCAGAACCATTAATGTTACTGTTATTGCTGAAACAATGTGTGGGCACTTATATATAATACGCCGTGAAGACTTACATTTTTTTTCCTGAGCTTAGAGTTAGGAGATTGACGGGAATTAGTCGTGGGATTGGTGGTTTTGAGAGATGAGGAAAAAACTTGACTCAAGATCGAAATCGCAAACATAGAGAACTCGAAATATGCTGCAATGGAGACTTTAGGTGTTGCTGATGGCATTTAATACAAGAGGAAAAGTGAGACACTTTTAATGCATGCTCTGGCGAATTGTAAGATAATTAAAGCTTAGGCAGATGAACTAAAATGAAGCTTAACTAGGGAGGGAAGAAACATGAAATGATTTACCCTGCACGCACAAAAGGGAAAAATTGACAGCTAACAAGAAATCTACCCATATTCAGAACCTTCTAAGATTCGAAAAAAACGCATTGGGGATTTTTGAAACGAAGGGTACGGAGGCGGACATGAATATAATTGAATGTTGAAAAAAATAGAATCAGACAAGATGAGAATTCATCATTAATGCCATCTGCGTAGTGAGTTAATTCTATGCCGCTACAATGTTTGCCAGCAATAAAGTAGACTGAAGAGTTAAAGCTTAAATAACATTTCAATGCGTAGTGATAAGATCAACCTATAGAGTGGGGGTAAAGACATTGGCCTCTCAAAAAGTGAAAGCATTCGAGATCAGTCAATCCAGAGGTCATATTTGTTCGCACTCATCTCATCCTATCATAAAAATTATGATGTCAAGAGATCTTTAAACAATAAAACTGTTTAATCGGAATATTGGTGGGCAGCCAAAATCGATTTTGCTTGACAACCGAACAACCGTGCATCAGCAGCGAGTTTCACAGGCTTTAAAAAGAAGCAAAGGCTTGCAAGAATACAAATATATGGTTGGGCGAGATCTAAGCGGAAGGGAGTAGACATTTATTGACGCAAATACCTGCAAACTCGCCAGATAGTATTTAATAGAAATAATGCCGACTACTGAAGCCTTATACTATCTCCTACAAGCTTACATCGATGGGAATGCCAACAAATATAAGAGAACAGCGGCAATGCAATTTTAAATCACTAATTCAAACGAGGCGCAATAAGAGAAATTTGTGTCATATTAGAATCAGCGTTGAATTAATTTAATGAATGCTCACCAGTCACGAAAATGAGAACACAAAAGTAGCTCGCAAGATCTAATCAGATCCAGGAGATAGGAGCTGGGCTAACTTTCAGCAGGCGGGAACAATTTGAATACTCGTGCCTGATTTTACTTAGGATAATTTAAAACGCCATACACAAAGTAATTAATTATCAAATAATGAAGTTTCTATGTAGCACAAATCATGCAATAACATTCGTTATGCTATAAACCGAAGCAAGAATGTTTCAACTGCGTATTAGACACAACTGATTTGTCTAAAACGAACCTGACTCTCAACAAGCATGGCCATATCCATGAACATGTCGTGGAGTTCCTTGATGCTCTTTTCCAACTTGATGATGTCCTCGTGACGAGCTTCAATGTCTGCTAGGGACTGCTTCGCCTGCTGAGTGTCCGTCATGATCTGGAGAAGAAAGGAGAAGGGAATAAACGATGGAGGCTAGATCAGAGTGATAAAAGTACGACTTATAGTGGTGGTTGTACTTTCAAAATTATAGTAGATCTCCATAAGGTCCGTAAGACGAGTAAATGATCAAAAATGCGCCAAGTTGGTGACACATTATGAAACTAGGAAATCAATTGAGCGAGAGAAAATGTCGAGGAAGCATTACTTGACTACATGGTCAGATAAATAATGTTTCCAGCAATTTGAATAATTGATTGCGATAAGTTCGGATTTTAGGCAAAAAAAACGATTAAATTTAAAATTTCACGCTTAAGTTCAATAGATTTTCTTACCATTTTAAAGCACTTCCAGACGAAATATCCTTTAATTTAAAGTTGGAATGACGTTTGTAGAGCTCTTCAATGCTTCAAACTGAGCATCTAATACGTTGATTATTATATTCTAAAAACTCCTTTTTGTTCAATTACGCTTCTTTTAGAAAATAAAGCATTAATAACACAGTTTTTAGAAAAGGAAGTTACTCTTCAATCGCTCGGCAGATCCGCATATATATATTATTTCAAATGGCAGGCTTTATGGCATTTATCATTAGCCCTTTAGTTGACTTCGGCTTTCACAAGCCATAAAATTGTAATCAGAAATCACTTGTTTTTGCAAAAAATGCCTGTTTGGACTTCAGATGTAGAATCCCTCGTAAAGCATCATAAAATATGATTCACCTTAGAATAAATTTAAAGTATGAGATAAAATGCAAAAAATATTTCCCTTTGAACACCGCCAAGGCGGAGTTGTTAGTTAATGTGTGAAAGACATTTCACATTCAAGATTCCCCCCTTTGAGAGTGTAACATTTTTAATTTCTATTATCGCTCAAATATGGCATAATGCTGGTCTGTTTGTAATTCTCAAATTATAATAACTAGTAGGTGAAGCGCATAGTTGGCTTGAGGATGCTGTCCCCTCCACCCCGACCTCCCCCCCCCNCCCCCCCCCCCCCCCACCCCACCCTCACATCTGCAAAAACTGCAAAATCGGATTTATCTTATAGATAATTAAACATACCATCTAGAATGGACAATTAATCACTTGCAGGTAGAGGGAGAGAGCTGAAGCAAGATAGCCTCTCCTATTCATGTCCTCACATTTTTACACTTTTGGCTCAATAGCCAAAATACTTAATTACACTGTATAAAACGAATAGCAATGGAAAAAATGCGGAAATCGCGGTTGTACCTCCATCTTTCCTAAAGAAAAGTGGGTGAAATCCTTTTCCTACCCACAATAGGACTCACACGCATAGTCTCCATTGTTATTTACTAGCTTTTTTTCTATTTTCAGACGTCATTTGAGTTACCACGATCAATGACCAGTTAAGAGCAAATGCCTGTGGTGGTACAAGAGACTTACCTCTTGTGTGAAGATGGCGGGATTACCGGATTCGAGCATGTCTTCAAGCTCCTCATTGGTGATTTTTCGTTCAGCTGTAATAGAAACGAAGAAATTAAAGTTCAAAGCAGTCCCACTGAACAATAGCCCATTAAAAATATAAAAAAGATGATTGGCCTTTCTGATTCGTTCTCGTGACTTCCTTTCAACCCCCCCCCCCCCAAAAAAAATAATGTTTTCATCTCATTATTACACAAACATTTGCAACTAAGAAATATTTAGCTATGAGCCACTTTTCATTCTAGCCTCCTAAAAAGAAACACACAATGCGATTTATTATCGCGCCTATTGACTATCAGAATAATCATACAAGATTGAATCCGAAAATTTGAACTTTGGAACACTGTTCAGTTGCTCAACACAGTGGACTATACGCATGAAATAGCTAGCGATGGGCCCCGAATTTCAATGAAGTAAGACTATTCTGATTCCATGGCGATAACCTCAACGTCTACTCCATCCTTCTACCACTTTATCCTCAATTCAAAAATGGCTTGGACACTTTACTGCAACTACTTTTTGCTTGCTATTCAAAATTTCAAAATGAGCCGTTTATCTCGTCGAATGTCCCCCCCCCCCCCCCCCAAGGATGGCTCAAATATGCACTCTGGAAAAATCTTCCACTTAGAATTTATTCCTTTATTTGGGGGCCTTAACTGAAGTGAGATAAGCACTAAGCTCATCCAATTGCGTAAGTTTGTTTCTATTAGCCCATACCAGGCTAATATAAAGCATAGCACCTCCCGAATTTCAAAATATCTACCCCTAAGACTCAGGTTAATTACCAGCATTCTGAAGGAAAAGTAATTGTGCTAATAGTAGGGATAATAAAATGATCCAGTTAGGGGGTAGAGAGGAGCTCCAGACATCCACACTTTGCTCAATGAGGTTCTGGGTGAGTTCAGAACTAATGCGATTTATTGTAATAATGTGGTCATTCTGAAAGGAAGATGATGTTAACGATTATGTTTTAGACGAGATAGCTGTTAAGTGGACGCAACCGAACTGCGCCATAGGTTCTATCGATCAGCTCCCTCAGGTCGGTGCAAGACTTGCTCCAAATCCAAGCAGCAGATCTCCACTAATTAATTAATTAACTAATTAAAAGTCTACTTCGAAGTCCTAATTCACGGCCCATAAAAACGTACAAGCAGAACCACCGCCACACCGCTGCTCCGTTATCAGCAAGTGAAAATCGACAACAAGGCTACTGCGACTACTTTAAAGAAAAAAATCCACAACGTAGCAGCAGCGGAGTGAAATAAAATGCAACAACAAAAAAAGCGATTCATTTAATTGCCGCTCCATATCCTAACTTGGGGGTAGATTAGGAAAGGCAATTTAATGGCAAGGGAAAATTGAGGGTGTAACCGGTCCCAGGTTTTAAGATTAGCAGCCTAACCCCATTGGAAATTCAAGGCCAATCTCCACGAAGACCAAATAGTGTGCCAACAAAATAAAAAAGTGTTCAATTTTTCAACAACAAAAAAACGATGCTCTTCAAATAACTGGATCGTGTGAGGGCATAAAAAAAGGAGTGGAGAAATCTCCACGACAGTCTTTCTAACTTTCAGCCGCCTAACTACTTGTTTGCCCATTTACTTGGAGGCAGCGGAATTCTTGATCATATATTAATGCTCTGTTTACATTGAGTAAACAAATTGACACACGGTGCAATGGATTAGTTTTATACGCATATACAAATATATATACATATATAGGAGCTTCTGCTAAATTATTAATCAAATAGATGAGCATTAGACACATTTTGACGCAAAAAATGTAACGAATAGCTAACCAATATTTTGCTAATAACATCAAAGTACTCCCACATCGATCCGATGTGCACTGAAAGCAAATGCTGCCATCCTCGTTGCTATTGGCAGCAAGAATTTCGAGGGAGATTTATGTACATATTCTATTGTCCATTCTCTCTCTCTCTCTCGTTGGCGCTGAGCTTTGCCTGATTTCAGAAATTAGCAAACGTGTGAACGTGAAACTGAATTTTATCAAGTAACTTCGATAATCTTTACAAAATTGAGGGACAATAACTGCAGTATGCCAACCATAAAGGGGCATGAGAGAGATGATCGAAAAAAGAAGTAGTAAAATAATAATACAATCTTCAAATATTCAAGACTTGGAAAAGCATGACCCACCAATTTCCATTTGACGCTTAATTCGGTTTTTGCAAGCGTCTCGGAAGGCGACTTGGGCCTTGTTGTAATCCGTCATCACTTCGATGAAATTTCGCGAGATTGTTGAGTACTGGAAAAAAACAAGTAGAAAAGGAGTACGACTGCTGTATACTAATGAAACAGATCGTCTTAACAGTAAGCCATCAGTTCTACTAGCACGAAGTCACCAAATGTTATTTCGGGAAAATTACAAGAATGAAAAGTCATATCCTTATGTATCAGAAAGTATATCATTTCTACAATATTGTATGACCTACAGACAAC